ATTTTTGTTAATTTTTCACAGCTATCAAAATTCAGATATGTTCAGTGAATTTGTGCAAAAATTGACAACTGTCAAAATGTCATGTTTTGGACAATACGATATCAATTGATGAAGTCGCAGATAAAATCTTTGTTGATTGAAATTGGAAATTTTTTAACCCCTGTCAAAATTTACTTCTTTTAAAATTTAACACCTGTCAAAATGTCATAATTTTGACAATATAATGTTAATTATTAAAATCGCGGATAAAATGTTTATTGATTGAAATTGAATTTTTTTGACAGCTGTTAAAATTTACTTTTTTTAAAAAATTGACACCTGTCAAAATATCATATAATTTTGATAATAAAATTTCAATTATAAGGCTTTAACTTTGTGTCAATTTTGTTAAATCAACAAAAATTTTATTTAGGGCCCCAATTATTGACATCTCATAGTCAGAAATCGTGACATTTGACAGGTGTCGATTTTTTCTGTCAAAATATTCGAGTTATTTTTCTAAATTAATCTTGAATGTCACAATATTTCATCTACGATCCCAATAATTGACATCATATTGACAGAATCCTAAAATTTTTGACAGATATGTCAACTTTCTTTTGTCAAATTTTTTGATTTATTTTATTATTTAATTTAAAAATTTCATCTATTAAATTATATCTACGAAGGCAATAATTGATATTATATTGTCAAAAATTCTGACATTTGACAGGTGTCAATTATCTTCTGTCAAATTTTATCGAACTATTTTTCTGATTTAATTTGCAAAATATCACCTATTAAATTTTATCTACGATCCCAGAAATTGACATCTCATTGTCCAAAATCTTCACATTTGACAGGTGTCAATTTTCACCTGTCAAATTTTTTCAAGTTATTCTTCTAATTTAATATGCAAAATGTCACTTGCAAAATTTCATCTTCGACCCCAATAATTGACATTTCATTGTCAAAATCGTAAAATTATTTGACTGGTGTCAATTTAAAAAAAAAAAATCATTAAATAAATTAGAATTTTTAACACCTGTCAAAAATATTTCAATCAACAAAATTGTCATGAATTTGAAGCTCAATAAAATTGACATCTCATTGTCAAAATCATATATTTTGACAGATATCAGTTTTTTTACAAATTCTTTAGGAAATTCAATTTTGACAGTCGAAAAGTTTTCAATCTCAATTAACAAAATTGACACAAATTTGAAGTTAAGTAGTTGACATATTATTGTCAAAAATCATGACATTTGACATGTAGCAATTTTTTTACAATTTCACTGAACATATTCAAATTTTGACAGCTGTCAAAAAAAAAAATTCAAGTTAACAAAATTGACACAAATTTGAAACTTTAATAATTGACATCTTATTGTCAAAATTATATGACATTTTGACAGGTGTCAATTTTTTTAAAAATTCATTTTTAACAGCTTTTGAAAATTTTTCAATTTCAATCAACAAAAATTTTATTCACAACTCCAATAGTTGACATCTTATTGTCAAAAATCCTGATATTTGACAGGTGTCATTTTTTTTCTATCAATATTTTCGAATTACATATTTTCTTAAATTAATATCCAAATGTCATCCACAAAATTTTATCCACGACCCAAATAATTGACATCATATTGTCAAAAATCCTGACATTTGACAGGTGTCAATTTTTTTCTGTCAAAATTTTCAAGTTATTCTTCTAAATTAATTTCAAAATATCACCTACAAAATTTTATTTACGATCACAATAATTGACATCTCATTATCAAAATTGTAACATTATTTGACAGGTGTCAATTTGTTAGAAAAATCATTGAAAAAATTCAAATTTTGACAGCTGTCAAAAAAAATTCAATTTAAGAAGAAAAAAAAAATTGAAATTTATTATGACATTTTTTCTACAAATTAAATTTTGACAGTTTTCAAAAAATTTTCAATTTCAATTAACAAAATTGACATAAATTTGAAAGTCAATAAGAATGACATTTCATCATATGATATTTTGACAGGTGTCAGTTTTTTTTTTTTCAAATTCTCTAGGAACTTCATTTTTGACAGTTATAAATTTTAATACTCAATTAACAAAATTGACACAAATTTAAATTTCAATAATTGACGTCTCCTCATTGTCAAAAATCGTGACATTTGATAGATATCAATATTTTTACAAATTCACTGAATGTATCAAAATTTTGCCAACTGTCAAAAAAAATTCAATTTTTAATTAACAAAATTGACACATTGAAATTTTATTATTAAAATTATATGACATTTTGACAGGTGTCAATTTTTTAAAAATGTAAATTTTGACAGCTGTCAAAAAAATTCAATTTCAATCAATAAACATTTCATCCATGACTTTAATAATTACCATCATATTGTCAAAATCTTGAAATTTTGACAGGTGTCAAATTTAAAAAAAAATAAAAAATTTGACAGATGTTGAAAAAATTCCAATTTCAATCAACAATGATTTTATCTGCGACTTCATTAATTGAAAAATTTGACAGAAGAAAATTGACACCTGTCAAATATTAGAATTTTTGGCGATGACATGTCAATTATTGAGGTCATGAATAAAATTGTATAAGTGATATTTTGAAATTAAATTGGAAAAATGGCCCGAAAAATTTGACAGAAGAAAGTTGACATCTGTCAAAAATTTTAGGATTTTGTCAATTATTGGGGTAGTAGATAAAATATTGTAAGTGACATTCAAAATAATTTTGGAAAAATAACCCGAACATTTTGACAGAAGGAAATTGACACCTGTCAAATGTCACAATTTTAGACAATGAGATGTCAATGAATGGGGCCCTAGATAAAATTTTTGTTGATTAATTGAAAATTTTTCGATTGCTGTCAAAATTGATTCAATGTTGTAAAAACATTGACACCTGTCAAAATATCACATGATTTAAACAATAAGATGTTAACTATTAAAGTTTTCAATTTGTATCAATTCTGTTAATTAGAATTGAATTTTTTTGACAGTTGTCAAAATTCGAATATGTGTGAAAAAATTGACACCTGTCAAATGTCATGATTTTTGACAATGAGATGTCAATTATTGGGGCCGTAGATAAAATTTTTGTTGATTGAAATTGAAAATTTTCCGATAACTGTCAAGACTGAGTTTGTGAAAAAAATGACACCTGTCAAAATGTCATATAATTTTGACAATGAGCTGTCAATTATTGGGGTCGTGAATAAAATTGCGTAAGTGATATTTTGAAATTAAATTGGAAAAATAGCTCGAAAAATTTGATAGAAGTTGACATCTGTCAAAAATGTCAAGATTTTGACAATATGATGTCAATTATTGGGGTCGTAGATAAAAAATTTTAAGTGAAATTTCAAATTAATTTAGAAAAATCATTCCAAAAAATTTTGACAGAAAAAAATTGACACCTGTCAAATGTCACGAATTTCGACAATGAGATGTCAGTGATTGAGGCCCAAAATAAAATTTTTGTTGATTTTAATTGAAAAATTTTCGACAGCTGTCAAAATTGAATTTGTTTAGTGAAATTGGCACCTGTCAAAATATCACGTGATTTAGACAATAAGAAGTCAACTATTAAAGTTTTGAAATTGTATTTATTCTGCTAATCAAATTTGAATTTTTTTTTACAGCTGTCAAAATTCGCGTGAATTTGTGAAAAAATTGACATCTGTCAAATGTTATGTTTTTTGACAATAAGATGTCAATTATTGGGGCTGTAGATAATATTTTTGTTGATTGAAATTGAAAAATTTCTGATAGTTGTCAAAAAGTTTTTAAAAAAATTTACACCTGTCAAAATGTCATATAATTCTGACAATGAGTTGTCAATATCAAGCTTCAAATTTGTGAAATGAAAAAATTTTCGAAAGCTGTCAAAATTGAATTTTGTTGTAAAAAATTAACTCCTGTCAAAATGTCACGATTTTGACAATATGATGTCCATTATTAAAGTTGAAGATAATTTTTTTTTTTTTTTCGATAGCTGTCAAAAATTAATTTGTAAAAAAAATTGACATCTGTCAAAATGATTTTTACAATTTGTGGCATTTTTGTTGATTGAAATTGAAAAATTTTCGACAGCTGTCAAAATTCAATTTTTTCAGTGAATTGGAAAAAAAAATGACACCTGTCAAACTATTATGTGATTTTGACAATAAGATGTCAATTATTAAGTTCTAAATTTGTGTCAGTTTTGTTAATTAAATTTGGATTTTGTTCGACAGTGGTCAAAATTCGAATATGTTTAATGACTTTGTAAAAAAAACTGATACCTGTCAAAATATCATATGATTTTGCCAATGAGATGTCAATTTTTTTGAGTTTCAAATTTGTGTCAATTTTGTTGATTGAAATTGGAAAATTTTTGACAGCTGTCAAAATTGAATTTGTAAAAAATTAACCCCTGTCAAAATGTGATAATTTTGACAATAGGATGTTAATTATTGAAGATGTGGATAAAATTTTTGTTGATTGAAATTGAAAAATTTTCGACAGCTGTCAAAATTTAATTTAAAAAAAAAAATGACACCTGTCAAATGTGACGATTTTTGACAATGAGATATCAGTTATTAGGGTCGTGGATAAAATTTTATTGATTGAAATTGAAAAAATTTTCGACAGTTGTCAAAATTAAGTTTGTAAAAAAAATTGACACCTGTCAAAATTTCACGATTTTTGAGAATGTGAATAACAAACTGACCCAACTAAAATAGAATTCCATTTTAACAATGACAAACGACTCAACTAAAATAGAATTCCATTTTAACAATGACAAGTGACTCAGCTGAAATAGAATTCTATTTATTGTTGCAGGTGCCTGCATTACCGGCCTTTTGAAGGTTATGTTTCCAGACTTTTCAAAGGTAAGTGAATTTAATCTTATTTTTGTACGGTTACGGTGTGAACCGAGTCAATTACATTGAAGCGCCATCTATCGACAATCGTTTCAACTATTGAAATTGCATTGGGCGCGTTTACATCGCAACTTAAAACCGACTCACCTGTAATAAACATCGAAGTCGTTTGCGGCGACTCGTTTACGACCTCCTCGTCCACCTCCTCGATTTTTTCTGGTAAATTGCGCGCTTGTTCTTGCAGTGCGCATGCGTCCATCCTTATCCTGCTCAGCGGACATTTTGACGGCATTTTTGACGCGACACCAGAGGCGGCGCTTAAAAATGGCCGCGCGTTTAGTTTCTCAGCCGCCAAACCGATATTGTGCGCAAGCGTAGGCGAAATTCCGTCAATGGGTTGTCGATTTTTGACAATATTCATCACTTGTTGAATGTTGATTCCGATATTGTGACTTTGGGTTGTTGAAATTGCCGGGCAAAAGGGTATTGTGCGCAAATCGATTGTGCGCAGGTACTTTTTGGTTACTTGTTTCATTCTCGAAGCTACAGTTGGTAGGGCATAGGTGGCGCTACATTCGTTTGGACGTCGTTTGCTTTTAAAGGTAACTTCTGAGTCACTGTGTCTTGTTAGGGCTTCATTATGGTACAATTCTACTATTTTATTAGCGGTACCATCGTGAAATCTACTCAGAATCCTTTTTCTGATTCCACTTGAGGATTTCTTTTTGTTTAAATTCCTTCTTATTGGTTTTAATTTGGGTAGTACCGGGCTACTGGGTATTTCTAGAGGCGGTACCACCCCTAGACGCCTTGGAGTAGCGTTTTGCGAATGAATTTCAACCAATCGGTTTACAGAATTAGTAATTCCATTTAATATATGGTTAATGGTACGCACTGCTGCACCTGAAGAATCAGTACCGATTTGCCGGGACTTTTGCCTCACTGGTGGTACCGAAGCAGTACTTTTTTGCTCAGGCATTTCATCTAAAAGAACTATTAAAAAAAAAATAATAATTTCAAAAAAACCCTTTATAAAAAAACCCCTTACCGCTACCATGGGCGGACATTTTATCTGAAAATTTCCCTGATCGTTTCGTTCCATAGGCGTACTTCATCTGATCCAACTGATCTTTTAAAGTGTTGCACCGCGTTTCGGCCATTTCCAGTACCTCTTCAATGTCTTTGGAACAGAAAAAAAAAAATTGACATCAACACTGTCAAAACACGACGTTGTCATATTTTGTCAAAAATTTAAATTTTTTTTTACAATAATGGAAAATCGTGAACATGTGGTTTTTTTGCACGAAACTCTGGCCAAAAAAACGATGGACAAGTACTTGTTGAACATAGCCCTTGCCTACCATGACATGGGACACAAGGTGACCCTAATGGTGTCCCATGGGAATCCCAAAGAAATGATTGAAGAGTTTGAGGTGAGAATTTCCAATTTTTGAGTGAGTCTACCAAGTCAAACATGAAATTCTAATTATTAAATCTCGTTGGATTCTAATAAGAACTCGTTGATACGCAAAGGAAAATTTATTCTGAACTCGTTGAATGAATTGGAAAATAATCGTTGAAATTTTATTTATTTTTTCAACGAACTCGTTGAAACATTCTACTAAAGACTCGTTGAAACGCGTTTTAAATTCTTTCCAACGAGTTTCTATTACATTACCTTTGGCAAATAATGAAAACTCGTTGAAAAATCTAATTAAAAGTCGTTGAAACATTCCAAAAACTCGTTGGAATGCAATAGAAACTCGTTGCAACGCGTTTTAAATTTTTTCCAAACTGTTCCAACGAGTTCTGAACATTTTTAGAAACATTTTAGATTTTTTTTTGAAATATTCTAGAGCATTCCAGAATTTTTTGAAACAATCCAAATTTTTTCCAATGAGTTTTCAATTTGTTCCAACGAATTTTAAGAATTTTTAAGAACATTTTAAAAATTTTTGGAACTTTCTAGAACGTTTCAAAATTTTTTGGAACTATCAAATTTTTTTCCAACATGTTTTCGATCCGTTCCAACGAGTTCTCAAAATTTTTAGGAACATTCTAAAATATTTTGGATTTTTTTTTTGGAACGTTCCAGAATATTTTGAAACAATCTAATTTTTTTTTAACATGTTTTCAATCTATTCCAACGAGTTCTGAGTATTTTTAGAAACATTCTAAAATATTTTAGATTTTTTTTGGAACGTTCTAGAGCGTTCCAGAATTTTTTGAAACAATCCAATTTTTTTCCAATAAGTCTTCAATCTGTTCCAACAAGTTTTAAGAATTTTTAAGAACATTTTAAAATTTTTCGGAACTTTCTAGAACGTTTCAAAATTTTTTGAAACTATCAAATTTTTTTCCAATAAATTTTCAATCTGTTCCAAAGACTTTTGAGAATTTCCAACAACATTCGAAAATTTTTTGGAACTTTCTAGAAAGTTTCAATTTTTTTTGGAACAATCCAATTTTTTTCCAACATGTTTTCAATCTCTTCCAACGAGCTCTGAGTATTTTTAGAAACATTCTAAAATATTTTAGATTTTTTTTGGAACGTTCTAGAATGTTCCAGAATTTTTTGAAACAATTCAAATTTTTTCTAATGACTTTTCAATCTCTTCCAACAACTTTTAAGAATTTTTAACAACATTCTAAGATGTTTCAGAACATTCTAAAACGTTCCAAATTTTTTTGAAACAATCTAATTTTTTTTCAACATGTTTTCAATCTGTTGCAACGAGTTTTGAGAATTTCTAGAAACATTCAAAAATATTTTAGAATTTTTTTGGAACGTTCTAGAACGTTCCAAAATATTTTTTGAAACAATCCAAATTTTTTCCACTGAGTTTTCAATCTGTTCCAACGAGTATTAAGAATTTTTAACAACATTCTGGAATTTTTTGAAACATTCTAGAACGTTTCAAATTTTTTTGGAACAATCTAATTTTTGTCCAATATGTTTTCCAATCTCTTCTAACGAGTTCTGAAAATTTTTAGAAACATTCCAGATGATTTTAGAACTTTTTTGAAACGTCCTAGAGAACGTTCCAGAATTTTTTGAAACAATCTAAATTTTTTCCAATGAGTCTTCAATCTGTTCCAACAAATTTTAAGAATTTTTAAGAACATTTTAAAATTTTTCGGAACTTTCTAGAACGTTCCAAAATTTTTTGGAACCAACAAATTTTTTTCTAACATGTTTTCGATCCGTTTCAACAAGTTCTCAGAATTTTAAGAAACATTCTAGAATATTTTAGATATTTTTTGGAACGTTTCAGAATTTTTTGAAACAATATAAATTTTTTCCAATAAGTTTTCAATCTGTTCCAACGACTTTTGAGAATTTTTAACAACATTCAAAATTTTTTTGGAACTTTCCAGAACGCTCCAAAAATTTTTGGAACAATCCTAATTTTTTTCAACATGTTTTCAATCTATTCCAACGCGTTCTGAGTATTTTTAGAAACATTCTAGAATATTTTAGAATTTTTTTGGAACGTTCTAAAACGTTCCAGAATTTTTTGAAACAATCCAAATTTTTTCCAATGAGTTTTCAATCTGTTCCAACGAATTTTGAGAATTTTTAACAACATTCGAAATTTTTTTGAAACTTTCTAGAACGTTCCAAATTTTTTTCTAACATGTGTGCGATTCTTTCCCACTAGTTCTCAGAATTTTTAGATACATTGTAGAATATTATAGATTCTAAAACGTTCCTAAATTTTTTTTTTGGAACAATCTAATTTTTTTCCAATATGTTTTCAATCTGTTTTAATGAATTCTGAGAATTTTTAGGAAAATTCTAGAATATATTAGAATTTTTTTGGAACGTTCTAGAACGTTCCAGAATTTTTTTAAACAATCCAAATTTTTTCCAATAAGTTTTCTATCTGTTCTAACGACTTTTAAGAAATTTTAACAACATTTGAGAATTTTTTTGGATCATTTTAGAACGTTCCAAAATTTTTTAAAACAATCTAATTTTTTTTCAACATGTTTTCAATCTGTTCCATCGAATTCTAAGTATTTTTAGAAACATTCTAGAAAATTTTAGAATTTTTTTTAAAACGTTCCAGAATTTTTTGAAACAATCCAAATTTTTTCCAAAGAGTTTTCAATCTGTTCCAACGAATTTTAAGAATTTTCAAAAACATTTTAAAAATTTTTTGGAACTTTCTAGAACGTTCCAAAATTTTTTGGAACGATCAAATTTTTTTCTAAAATGTTTTTGATCCGTTCCATCAGATTTTGAGATTTTTTAGGAACATTCTAAAATATATAAGAATTTTTTTGGAACGTTCTAGAACGTTCCAGAATTTTTTGAAACAATCCAAATTTTTTCCAATGAGTTTTCAATCTGTTCCAACAAATTTTAAGAATTTTTAAGAACATTCTAAGTTTTTTTGGAACTTTCTGGAACGTTCCAAATTTTTTTGGAACTATCAAATTTTTTTCTAACATGTTTTCGATCCGTTCCAACGAGTTCTCAAATTTTTTAGGAACATTCTAGAGTATTTTAGATTTTTTTGGAACGTTCGTTCTAGAATTTTTTGAAATATTCTAAATTTTTTCCAATAAGTTTTTAATCTGTTCCAACGACTTCTGAAAATTTCCAACAACATACGAAAATTTTTTGGAACTTTCTAGAACGTTTCAAAATTTTTTGGAATAATCCAATTTTTTTCCAACATGTTTTCAATCTCTTCCAACAAGTTCTGAGTATTTTTAGAAACATTCTAGAATATGTTAAACATTTTTTGGAACATTCTAGAACGTTCCAGAATTTTTTAAAACAATCCAAATTTTTTCCACTGAGTTTTCAATCTGTTCTAACCAGTATTAAGAATATTTTTTGGAACATTCCAGAACGTTCCAAAACATTTTTCAACTCTTTGCAACAATTCGAACAACTTAATTCCAAGTTGAAACTTTTTTTTTTTGGAACATTCTAGAATTTTTTGAAACAATCTAAATTTTTTTCAACGAATTTTTAATTTGTTCCAATGGTTTGGAGAATTTTTTTGGAACATTTCAAAATTCTTTGAAACATTCTAAAATGTTTCAGAACATGTTTGATCTCTATTCAGCATTCCGAACGGCTCAATTTCGAGTTGAAACTTTTTTTTGGAACATTCTAGAATGTTCTAGAATTTTTTGAAACACTCTAGAAGTAACTGGATATTACTCAAATTTATATTTTAGAATTTTTAGGAACATTTTAAAACATATTAGGACACTTTAGAATGTTCCAAAACTTTCTGAAATTTTTTGGAATACTCTAGAAGTTACTAAATTTGAAACTTGTGATTTTCTAATTAGATTTACAAATCTCGGAAAATCTGGAAAAATTTGAATTTTCTGCAAAATCTTTTTGAAACATTCTGAAACGTTCCAAAATTTTTTAAAACACTCTAGAAGTAATTAAAAGTTATTTTAATTTACATTTTAGAATTTTTAGGAACATTTTAAAACCTATTACAACACTTTAGAATGTTCCAGAACTTTCTGGAATTTTTTGGAACACTCTAGAAGTTACTAGATTTGAAACTCGTGAATTTTTAGTGAAATTTACGAAACCAGGAAATTCTAGAAAAAAATCGAATTTCCTACAAAATCTCTTTGGAACATTCTAGAACGTTCCAGAATTTTTTGAAACACTCCAGAAGTAATTGAAAGTTAATGTAATTTACATTTTAGAATTTTAAGGAACATTCTAAAACATATTAGAACAATTTAGAATGTCCCAGAACTTTCTGGAATTTTTTGGAACACTCTGGAAGTTACCAGATGTGATTTTCTAATTTTAGAAGTTTCGAATTTTCTGCAGAATCTTTTTGGAACATTCTAGAATGTTTCAGAATTTTTTGAAATAATCTAAAGTTTCTTCCAACGATCTTTTATTCTGTTCTAATGAGTTATAAGAATTTTTTGGAACATTGTAAATCGTTTGAAAATTGTTTTGAAACAATCTAAATTTTTCCCAATTAGTTTTTAGTCTGTTTCAAGGAGTTCTAAAATTTTTTTTTGGAACATTCTAAATCGTTTCAAAATTTTTTTGAAACAATCTAAATTTTTCCCAATTAGTTTTCAATCTGTTTTAACGAGTTTTAAGAATTTTTTGGAACATTTTAGAACGTTTTAGAATTTTTTGAAAAAATCTAAATTTTTTTTAACGAGTTTTGGATCTTTTCCAACGAGTTCTAAGAACGTTCCAAATTTTTGGAAATATTTTAGAACATTTGAGAATTTTTTGGGACATTCTAAACCATTTTAAAATTTTTTTGAAACTATCTAAATTTTTCCCAATTAGTTTTCAATCTGTTCCAACGAGTTCTAAGAACGTTCCGAATTTTTTTTGAACCAATCTAAATTTTTTCCAATTAGTTTTCAATTTGTTCTAACGAGTTCTAAGAATTTTTTGAAACAATCTGAATTTTTTGGAAATATTTTACAACATTTGAGAATTTTTTGGAACATTTTGAAACGTTCCAATTTTTTTTTTTGAAACAATCTAAATTTTTTCTCATTAGTTTTCAATCTGTTCTAAGAACTTTTTGGAACATTCTAGAACGTTTCAGAATTTTTTGAAACAATCCAAAGTTTTTTTTGGAACATTCTAGAATTTTTTGAAACAATCTAAATTTTTTTCAAAGAGTTTTCGATCTGCTCCAACGAGTTCTGAGAATTTTTGGGAATATTCTAGAACATTTGAGAATTTTTTGGAACATTCTAAAACGTTTCAAATTTTTTTTGAAACAATCTAAATTTTTATTAATTAGTTTTCAATTTGTTTCAACGAGTTTTATGAATTTTTGGAACATTCTAGAACGTTTCAGAATTTTTTGAAACAATCTAAAAATTTTGTCAACGAGTTTTCAATTTGTTCCAACGAGTTTTTGGAATTTTTGAAATTTTTTTAGATCATTTGAGAATTTTTTGGAACTTTTTAAAATGTTCTAAAACTTTCTTGGAACAATCTAAATTTTTTTCAATTTGTTCCAACGAGTTCTAAGAATTTTTTGGAACATTCTAGAACGTTTCAACGAGTTTTCGATCTGTTTCAACCAGTTCTGTGAATTTTTGGAAATATTCTAGAACATTTCAGAATTTTTGGAACTTTCTAAAACGTTTCAAACTTTTTTTGAAATAAACTTATTGTTTTCCAATTACTTTTCAGTGTGTTTCAACGAGTGTTAAAAATTTTTTGGAACATTTTAAAACGTTTCAGAATTTTCTGAAATAATCCAAATTTTTTTTTCAATGAGTTTTCGATTTGTTCCAACGAGTTTCGAGAATTTTTCGAAATATTCTAGAATATTTGAGAATTTTCTGGAACATTTTAAAACGTTCCAAATTTTTTTTTGGAACAATCTAAATTTTTTTCAATCAGTTTTCAATCTGTTTCAACGAGTTCTAGGAATTTTCTGGAACATTCTAGAACGTTTTAGAATTTTTTGAAACGATCTTAATTTTTTTCAACGAGTTTTGAGAATTTTTGGAAATATTCTAGAACATTTGAGAATTTTTTGGAACATTCTAAAACGTTCCAAAATTTTTTCGAAACAATCTAAATTTTTTCCAATTAGTTTTCAATCTGTTCCAACGAGTTCTAAGAATTTTTTGGAACATTTTAGAATTTTTTGAAACAATTTAAATTTTTTTTCAACGAGTTTTCGATTTGTTCCAACGAGTTCTGAGAACTTTTGGAAATATTCTAGGATATTTGAGAATTTTTTGGAACGTTCTTACACGTTCCAAAATTTTTTTGAAACAATCTAAATTTTTTCCAATTTCTTTTAACGAGTTCTAAGAATTTTTTGAAACATTTTAGAATTTTTTGAAACAATCTTAATTTTTTTTTTCAAACGAGTTTTCAATCTGTTCTAACGAGTTTTGAGAATTTTTGGGAATATTCGAGAACATTTTAGAATTTTTTGGAACATTTTAAAAGGTTTCAAATTTTTTTTGAAACAATCCAAATGTTTTCCAATTAGTTTTCAGTCTGTTTCGACGAGTTTTAAGAATTTTTTGGTACATTCTAGAATTTTTGGAAACATTTTGGAACGTTCCAACGAGTTCTGAGAACTTCCATTCAATACCTGAATAAACATCGAGGCACATTTTGCCTTATAACTCAGCCAATTTCTAACCGATTTGGACGAAATTGGACTTAAAACGAAGCCAATTAAATTCTCTACAAAATCACGATTCGAAATTTCGATGTTTCTGCACTTGGTAGACTCCTCAGACCAATTTTCAATTGAACAAACATCGAAGCACATTTTGCCTCATAACTCGGCCAATTTTCAACCGATTTCAATGAAATTGGGCTTAAAATGGAGCCAATCAAATTCTCTACAAATTCGTCGACGTTTCTGAACCTGCTAGACTCTTCAGACCAAAAAACTGACAATTTTTTTAGTTTCTGGACAAAATCGATGTGCAATATTGCGGCTCCTGGATCCCACGCACCTTTTTGGGCCTGTGCCACCGGACAATGTCGACGCTTAAGGCCGCCTGGATGGCACTCAGAATCGTTCTGAGTCCGCCTACTCAGAAACCCACCCTTATTGTCACTGATGTGCATACAATTGCCTTGTTTATTGTGCATAGTTTGAGCAAATATAAGATTTTTCATTATGAAAACTTCAGAAGACTCAGAGCCAAAGAAGAATTGTGTCAGCATACTTGTTTTATGCCAACGTTTCATCATGCTAAATTTATGAAAATGGCAAACGAGGTTTTAGTTGAAAATAGTTTGTTTGCTGAAATTTTTTCAAGATCTTTTCCTGCTTTGAAAAAACCTTTGGTTGTCTATAGGTCTATTGACATTGGAAGCTGGGATGGTCCAGAGGTTGATATCAAAAGAATTATTCCAGATTTAGAGGACAATTTCGTAATGCTTTTAACTATTAATAAGTTTAAGGCTTCTTCAAACTTCAAACTGGTAATGGATGTTTTTGAAGTACTTCTGAGCTCAATTGGAGATACTCAGAGATCCAGGAATTATCATTTGGTTGTTGCTGGTACATGCAAAAGTCCTCAAGAGGATTTACAATATGATCAAGTAGTTAATTCGGCTAAAACCAGAAAATGTGGTTCACAAATGACTATTTTGAAGACTCTACCAACAATACATGAAAAGTCTTTGATCCAAAATGCTTCAGTAGTAATTTGCTGTGCCAGAAATATCCAGGCTGATTTATACTTGAAGGTTTTGTGTCTTGGAAAATCAATAGTGGCTACCAATAGAGGAATTGTAACAAAGATTATTAAAAATAGACTGACTGGGATTTTGGTGGAACCTGAACCAACGTGTATGGCCTCAGAAATTGCCCGTCTCATTGCTAGTCCGTATGTCAGTACTTTTATGAGCGAAATTGCAAAGGACTGTTTCAAGGAATTGTACTCGTTCAAAAGTTTGTGCAGGCAATTGAAGAATGTTAGTTTTCGGAAAAAGTGAGCGAATTTTGTAAAGATTTTAATAAATTCTTACCGTGTAAACGTACGTTGTTGTTTTTTCTGGAAACAAAAAATCTAATTATTGAAACTCGTTAAACTGGCTTTGTTGGAACATTCTAAAAACTCGTTAGCATGTAATAGAAACTCATTGAATTTTTTTTCCAAAGAGTTTTTCTTACGTTTTGATTGGCAAATAATAAAAACTCGTTGAAAAATCTAATTATAAAATGTATTAAAAGTCGTTGAAACATAAAAACTCGTTGGAATGCAATAGAAACTCGTTTGAACGCGCTTTAAATTTTTTTCCAACGAGTTTTTATTACATTACAAACATTCCGAACAACTTAATTTCAAGTTGAAGCCTTTTTTGCAATGTTCCAGAATTTTTTGGAACAATCTAATTTTTTTTTAATGTGTTTTCAATCTGTTCCAATGACTTTAAGGAATTTTTAATTACATTCTGAAATTTTTAAAAGGTTCTAGAACGTTCCAAAACTTTTTGGAACAATCTAATTTTTTTCCATCATGTTTTCTGTTTGTTCCAACGAGCTCTGAGAATTTTTAGGAACATTCTAGAATATAGTGAAAATTTTTGGAACCTTCTAGAACGTTCCAAAATTTTTTAAAACATTCCATCTTTTTTTTAATGAGTCTTCAATCTATTCTAACGACATTTAAAAATTTTTGACAACATTTAAGAATTTTTTGAAACATTTTAGAACGTTCCAAAATTTTTTAAAACAATGTAATTTTTTTTCAACGTGTTTTCTATCTGTTCCAACGAGCTCTGAGAATTTTTGAAACGATTCTAGAATATTTTAGAATTTTTATGAAACGTTCTAGAACATTCCAGAATTTTTTGAAACAATCCAAATTTTTTTTAATGAATTTTCAATCTGTTCCAATAACTATTAATAATTTTTAACAACAGTCTAGAATTTTTTGGAACTTTCAAAAATGTTCCAAAATTTTTTAGAACAATCAAATTTTTTTCCAACATGTTTTCTGTCTGTTCCAACGAGTTCTGAGAATTTTTAGGAACATTCTAGAATATAGTAAAATTTTTTTGGAACATTCTAGAACGTTCCAAAATTTTTTAAAACATTCCAACTTTTTTTTTAATGAGTCTTTAATCTATTCTAACGACTTTTAAACATTTTTGACAACATTTGAGAATTTTTTGGAACATTATAGAACGTTCCAAAATTTTTTAAAACAATGTAATTTTTTTTCAACATGTTTTCAATATGTTCCAACGAGTTCTGAGTATTTTTAGAAACATTCTAGAATATTTTAGAAACATTCTAGAATATTTTAGAATTTTTTTGGAACCTTCTAGAATGTTCCAGAATTTTTTGAAACAATCCAAATTTTTTCCAATGAGTTTTCAATCCAACGAATTTTAAGAATTTTTGAGAACATTTTAAAATTTTTCGGAACTTTCTAGAACGGTCCAAAATTTTTTTGGAACTATCAAATTTTTTTCCAACATATTTTCGATCCGTTCCAACGAGTTCTCAAAATTTTTAGGAACATTCTAGAATATTTTTAGATTTTTTTTTGAAAGTTCTAGAACGTTCCAGAATTGTTTGAAACAATCTAAGTTTTTTCCAATGAGTCTTCAATCTGTTCCCACGAATTTTAAGAATTTTCAAGAATATTCTAAAATTTTTTTAGAACTTTCTAGAACGTTTCAAAATTTTTTGGAACTATCAAATTCTTTTCTAACATGTTTTTGATCTGTTCCAACGAGTTCTCAAAATTTTTAAGGACATTCTAGAATATTTTAGAATTTTTTTGGAACGTTCTAAAACGTTCCAGAATTTTTTGAAACAATTTAAATTTTTTTGAATAAGTTTTCAATGTATTCCAACGACTTATGAGAATTTTTAACAACATTCGAAAATTTTGTGGAACAATCTAATTGTTTCAAAATTTTTTGGAACAATCTAATTTTTTTTCAACATGTTTTTAAGCTGTTCCAACAAGTTCCAAGTTTTTTTAGAAACATTCTAGAATATTTTAGAATTTTCTTGGAACGTTTTAGAACGTTCCAGAAAAACAATCCAATTTTTTTCCAATGAATTTTCAATTTGTTCCAACGAATTTTAAGAATTTTTAAGAACATTCTAAAATTTTTTGGAACTTTCTAGAACGTTCCAAAATTTTTCGGAACTATCAAATTTTTTTCCAACATGTTTTCGATCCGTTCCAACGAGTTCTCAGAATTTTTAGGAACATTCTAAAATATTTTGGATTTTTTTTTGGAACGCTCCAGAATTTTTTAAAACAATCTAAATTTTTTCCATTAAGTTTTCAATCTGTTTCAACGACTTTTGAGAATTTTTAACAACATTCGAAAAAAAACATTCTAAAATATATTAGAATTTTTTTTGGAACGTTCTATAACGTTCCAAAATTTTTTGAAACAATCCAAATTTTTTCTAATGAATTTTTAATCTGTTCCAACGACTTTTAAGAATTTTTGACAACATTCTAGAATTTTTAGGAATATTCTAAAATATATTAGAACACTTTGGAATGTTCCAGAACTTTCTGAAATTTTTTGAAACAATCTGGAAGTTACTAAATTTGAAACTTGTGATTTTTTAGTTAGATTTACGAATCTCGGAAATTCTGGAAAAATTTCGAATTTTCTGCAAAATCTTTTTGGAACATTTTGGAACGTTCCAAAATTTTTTGCTACACACTAGAAATAATTGGAAAATTGTTCAATTTACATTTTAAAATTTTTGGGAATATTCTAAAACATATTAGAACACTTTAAAATGTTCCAGAATTTTTTGGAATACTCTCGGAGTTACTAAATTTGAAACTCATGTTTTTTTATGAAATTTACGAATTCCAAAAATTCTAGAAAAATTTCGAATTTTCTGCAAAATCTTTTTAAAACATTCTAGAAAGTTCCAACATTTTTTGAAACACTCTAGAAGTAATTGGAAGTTACTTCAATTTACATTTTAGAATTTTAAGGAACATTTTAAAACATATTGGAACACTTTAGAATGTTCCAGAACTTTCTGGAATTTTTTGGAACATTCTAAAAGTTACTAGATTTAAAAATCGTGATTTTCTAGGAAAATTTACGAATTCCAAGAATTTTAAAATAATTTCGAATATTTTACAAAATCTTTTTGGAACATCCTAGAACGTTTCAGAATTTTTTGAAACACTCTAGAAGTAATTGGAAGTTACTTCAATTTACATTTTAGAATTTTAAGGAACATTTTAAAACATATTGGAACACTTTAGAATGTTCCAGAACTTTCTGGAATTTTTTGAAACACTCTAGAAGTTACTAAATTTGAAACTTGTGATTTTCTATTAAGATTTATGAATCTCGGAGATTCTGGAAAAACTTCGAATCTTCTGCAAAATCTCTTTGAAACATTCTAGAACGTTCCAAAATTTTTTGAAACACTCTAGAAGTAAATAAAAGTTACTTCAATTTACATTTAAGAATTTTAAGGAACATTTTAAAACATATTGGAACACTTTAAAAGATTCCAGAACTTTCTTGAATTTTTTGGAACATTCTAAAAGTTACTAGATTTTAAATTTGTGAATTTCTAGTGAAATTTACAAAACCCGGAAATTCTAGAAAAAATTCGAATTTCCTACAAAATCTTTTTGGAACATTCTAGAACGCTCCAGAATTTTTTTGAAACACTCTATAAGTATATGGAAGTTACTTCAATTTACATTTTAGAATTTTCAGCAACATTCTAAAACATATTAGAACAATTTAAAATGTTCCAGAACTTTCTGGAATTTTTTTGGAACATTGTAGAAGTTACCAGATGTGATTTTCTAGTGAAATTTACGAATCACAAAAATTTTAGGAAAATTTCGAATTTTCTGCAAAATCATTTTGGAATATTTTAGAATGTTTCAGAATTTTTTGAAACAATCTAAGTTTCTTCTTACGATCTTTCAATCTGTTTTAACGAGTTCTAAAAATTTTTTGGAACATTCTAAATCGTTTGAGAATTGTTTTGAATCAATCTAAATTTTTCCTAATTAGTTTTCAATTTTCAATCTGTTCCAAAGAGTTCTAAGAATTTTTTGGAACATTATAAATTGTTTCAATTTTTTTTTGAAACAATCTAAATTTTTTCTACTCAGTTTCATTTTGTTCCAACGAGTTCTAATACTTTTTTGGAACATTCTAGAATGTTTTAAAATTTTTTGAAACAATCTAAATTTTTTTCAACGAGTTTTTGATTTGTTCCAACGAGTTCTTACAATTTTTTGGAACATTCTAGAACCTTTTAGAATTTTTCGAAACAATCTCAATTTTTTCCAGTGAGTTTTCAAATTGTTCCAACGACTTCTCCGAATTTTTGGAAATATTCTAGAACATTTGAAAATTTTTTGGAACTTTCTAAAACGTTCCAAATTTTTTTAAAAACAATTTAAATTTTGTCCAATTAGTTTTCAATTTGTTCCAACGAATTCTAAGAATTTTTTGGAGCATTCTAAAACATTTAAGAATTTTTTCAAACAATCTAAATTTTTTTTCAATGATTTTTTCATGTGTCAACGAGTTTTGAGAATTTTTAGAAATATTCTAGATTATTTGAGATTTTTTTGGAACTTTCTAACATGTTTCAAATTTTTCTTGAAACAATCTACATAAATGTTTTTCTAATTAGTTTTCAATTTGTTTCAACGAGTTCTAATGATTTTTTGGAACATTCTAGAACGTTTCGGAATTTTTTGAAACAATCTAAATTTTTTCCAATGAGTTTTCGATCTGTTTTAACGAGTTTTGAGAATTTTTAGAAATATTTTAGAATATTTGAGAATTTTTTGGAACATTCTAAAACGTTCCAATTTTTTTCTGAAACAATCTAAATTTTCTTCAATTAGTTTTAAATCTGTCTAAGGAGTTTTAAGAATTTTTTCAAACATTTTAGAACGTTTCAGAATTTTGTGAAACAATCTAAATTTTTTTTAACGACTTTTAAATCTGTTCCAAAAAATTTTGAAAAATTTTTAGAAATATTTTAGAACATTTAAAAATTTTTTGGAACA